TTAGGCACCAATGTAAACACTCCTCCATCCTACCCTCCCATGAATGTCCATGTCTGTAGTGTACATGTGTGGTGACTCTTGGATATACACTTTCATGTACATTGCGTCACGAAAGGGCTATGGGGGGCGGGGGACAGGATGGCGTGGAGGGGTGAGGGGCAGGGAAGAGGAAGGGAACCGGCAATGGAGAAGAGGCGAGACGATAAGAGAGGAACGAAATGAGGTTACGGAGGGGGACTTCTTAATGTACAGGGGAAGTTGATTCCAGTGGTAGGGTGCGAGGGACTGCATGGAAACAGTACTGCTTACGTCAGCCAGGTGAACTTAAGACCAGAATTGTAGTTATGGTCAAGATAAACGTTTTTGCAACAACTCATGGAAAAAAATGCTGACTTAAATATCAAATTTACAGTGGCTTTTCTTCAAATCCGTGTATTTATTCAATTCAGCAGTTTTCATGAGTTGTTAATTACAACTTAATAAGCGAATCGAGTTTAAAACTACATTATTGTTAAAACAAAAATGTTGAGCTCATTGTACAATCGAGGTCAAAGTTAAAGGCGCAGCCCTCCAATTTCTTGCCCACGTGACTGCTGGTGGAAGGGCCTCCACAACTAGAGGGGGCTTTTAGAAAGCGTCCCTAGAGGAGGGTAGTTTGGCCTGCTCTTTCACGCTGGCCAGATGTGGAAGAGGTGGGAGTACCCACACTTTACCCCACCACACGCAATCTGTCATCCGACTGAGGTGTACCCATTTACTACTGCAGTATAAACTATATATATATTTATTTGAGCTAAATAAGGCCCACTATAGCTGTTTTTCAGAAGCGACCTGGCCACAAATGATAGCTCAACGAAGTGGCTTATCACGTGGGAATTTAATGCAGCCAAATACTGTAAAACGCATGTTTCTAAATATGGAGAGAAAAACCTGAAGACCCGGAGACAAAATCCACGCGACCACGGGCAATACACGCAAACTCCAAATATACTACAGCCGTCAGGGTCGGGCTCGAACCCACGACCTCCTGTATACCGGGCGAGGTAGTTAACATCTATCTCCTAGCCACCGTGACGCAGAAACTGTGGCTGCCTTTCAGAAACGTGTCTCATGTTTTAACTGCCGCACAGGGAGATCGAACAAGCGACCTCTGGATTGCAGGTCCAGTGTGCAAACCGTTATATACCACGACAGCATCCTTTCGTACGGTACAGGATATACAATTTCCGCATTGAAAACTATGTTTGGAACTATTAATAGATTATAACCAATTATTAGGCTCACGATACACAGTCCCTGGGTTGCAGAAGATCCAACTTACGGATATCCGACCTTATGGAAATTCTCCCCCGAAAAATTACGTTTAAAAAAGTTCAACACGCGGAAAACTTTTGCGTTAGTTAGTTACTTCGGCGCAAATAGTGCAGCGCGCTGAGGTTGCGGATGAAAACCATGGAACGAGGAGGGCAGCCGCCTTACACCGTCTCTCGCTCGAGGTTCACTCGGATTAAGGTCAATGGAATTTATCTTTGATTTTAGGGGGGGGGGGAATTTGTTCAGTTTCCGACATACGGAAAATTCGGGTTACGGATCGTAACCCTTGCGTAACCCGGGCACTGCCCTGTACATGGAATTCGTCACGATCGTGCGTCTGAACATCGCTGCATTTCCATTCGTATGTCGCGTGTGAGCTGCAACGCATTAACGTCACACCTACTGCAACTCGAGGCCACTACATTCACCAAATATGTGTACGGCGCGGTGGGCGGATGGGGGGGGGAAGAAATTAATTCTAGAATCGAGAAGAGAATTCGTGACAATTTATCGAATTGATTTTCACTTGGTAACCCATTGAATGTTTTAAATGCAATGTACACTATTAACTACCAGATATAGTTAATAATTACTTTAGTCTGGCGATGCTCACGTGGGTGGTGAGTGTCTGGTGAGTTGGAAGGGGTCGCGCGCGTGGTGAGTGGCGCTGAGTGATGAATGTCAGGTGAATTGCGAGTGGTGATTGTATCGTGTCTGATGAATGAGCGAGTGTAATATATTATTTGGAATGGTGATTGTTAGCGGGTGAGGTTCAGGTGAGTGGTGTTAAACTGGTGAGCGTCAAGGTGAGTGGTGAGGGTCAGCTAAGTGGTGATCACTTCTCGCGATGACGAGATGTTAGCGGCTTCGCCTGGTGCGATGATGATACCTGCGTGTATATTTGGAATTTGTATGTCTCTCCCCGTGGTCGCGTGGATTGTTCTCCGGGTGGTCCTCCGGTTTTTCCGTTCCACATTTAGAATCAACACCACCACGCATTTAGAGTAATTGGCTTGCTGTACATTTCCACTCGGCGATAAGCCACTTCGTCGTCGTTGAGCTGTAATTTGTGATATCCAGGTCGCTTCTGAAAAAAAGAGCCATAATGCCCAGTTTGGGTCTTATCTGGTCAAATTAAAATTGTTTATAAGTTTAAAGGTGATGATCAGGCGAGTGGTGACGGTCAGGTGAGTGGTGAGGGTCACGTGAGTGGTGAGGGTCAGGTGAGTGGTGAGGATCAGATGAGTGGTGAGGGTCAGGTGAGTGGTGAGGGTCAGGCGAGTGGTGAGGGTCAGGCGAGTGGTGAGGGTCAGCTGAGTGGTGAGGGTCAGGCGAGTGGTGAGGGTCAGGCGAGTGGTTAGGGTCAGCTGAGTGGTGAGGGTCAAGCGAGTGGTGAGGGCAAGGTAAGTGGTGAGGGTGAGGCGAGTGGTGAGGGTCAGGCGAGTGGTGAGGGTCAGGTGAGTGGTGAGGGCCAGGCGAGTGGTGAGGGTAAGGTGAGTGGTGAGAGTCAGGTGAGTGGTGAGGGTCAGGCGAGTGGTGAGGGTCAGGCGAGTGGTGAGGGTCAGGCGAGTGGTGAGGTTCAGGTGAGTGGTGAGGGTCAGGTGAGTGGTGAGGGCGAGGCGAGTGATGAGGGTCAGGTGAGTGGTGAAGGTGAGGCGAGTGGTGAGGTTCAGGTGAGTGGTGAGGGTCAGGTGAGTGGTGAGGGCGAGGCGAGTGATGAGGGTCAGGTGAGTGGTGAAGGTGAGGCGAGTGGTGAGGGTCAGGTGAGTGGTGAGGGTCAGGCGAGTGGTGAGGGTCAGGCGAGTGGTGAGGGTCAGGTGAGTGGTGAGGGTGAGGCGAGTGGTGAGGGTGAGGTGAGTGCTGAGGGTGAGGTGAGTGGTGAGGGTGAGGCGAGTGGTGAGAGTCAGGCGAGTGGTGAGAGTCAGGCGAATGGTGAGGTGAGTGCTGAGGGTGAGGTGAGTGGTGAGGGTGAGGTGAGTGGTGAGGGTGAGGCGAGTGCTGAGGGTGAGGCGAGTGGTGAGGGTGAGGCGAGTGGTGAGAGTCAGGCGAGTGGTGAGAGTCAGGCGAGTGGTGAGGGTCAGGTGAGTGGTGAGAGTCAGGTGAGTGGTGAGGGTCAGGCGAGTGGTGAGGGTCAGGTGAGTGCTGAGGGTGAGGTGAGTGGTGAGGGTGAGGCGAGTGGTGAGAGTCAGGCGAGTGGTGAGAGTCAGGCGAATGGTGAGGGTGAGGTGAGTGCTGAGGGTGAGGTGAGTGGTGAGGGTGAGGCGAGTGGTGAGGGTGAGGCGAGTGCTGAGGGTGAGGCGAGTGGTGAGAGTCAGGCGAGTGGTGAGGGTCAGGTGAGTGGTGAGAGTCAGGCGAGTGGTGAGGGTCAGGTGAGTGGTGAGGGTCAGGCGAGTGGTGAGGGTCAGGCGAGTGGTGAGGGTCAGCTGAGTGGTGAGGGTCAGGCGAGTGGTGAGGGTCAGGCGAGTGGTGAGGGTCAGCTGAGTGGTGAGGGTCAGGCGAGTGGTGAGGGTCAGGCGAGTGGTGAGGGTCAAGCGAGTGGTGAGGGCCAGGCGAGTGGTGAGGGTCAGGCGAGTGGTGAGGGTCAGGCGAGTGGTGAGGGTCAGGCGAGTGATGAGGGTCAGGCAAGTGGTGAGGGTCAGCTGAGTGGTGAGGGTCAGGCGAGTGGTGAGGGTCAGGCGAGTGGTGAGGGTCAGGTGAGTGGTGAGGGTCAGGTGAGTGGTGAGGGTCAGGCGAGTGGTGAGGGTCAGGCGAGTGGTGAGGGTCAGCTGAGTGGTGAGGGTCAGGCGAGTGGTGAGGGTCAGGCGAGTGGTGAGGGTCAGGTGAGTGGTGAGGGTCAGGCGAGTGGTGAGGGTCAGGTGAGTGGTGAGGGTCAGGTGAGTGGTGAGGGTCAGGCGAGTGGTGAGGGTCAGGCGAGTTGTGAGGGTCAGCTGAGTGGTGAGGGTCAGGTGAGTGGTGAGGGTCAGGCGAGTGGTGAGGGTCAGGTGAGTGGTGAGGGTCAGGCGAGTGGTGAGGGTCAGGTGAGGGTCAGGTGAGTGGTGAGGGTCAGGCGAGTGGTGAGGGTCAGGCGAGTGGTGATGGTCAGGTGAGTGGTGAGGGCGAGGCGAGTGGTGAGGGTCAGGCGAGTGGTGAGGGTCAGGTGAGTGGTGAGGGTCAGGTGAGTGGTGAGGTTCAGGTGAGTGGTGAGGGTCAGGCGAGTGGTGAGGGTCACGTGAGTGGTGAGGGTCAGGCGAGTGGTGAGGGTCAGGCGAGTGGTGAGGGTCACGTGAGTGGTGAGTGTCACGTGAGTGGTGAGGGTCAGCTGAGTGGTGAGGGTCACGTGAGTGGTGAGGGTCACGTGAGTGGTGAGGGTCAGGCGAGTGGTGAGGGTCAGGCGAGTGGTGAGGGTCAGGCGAGTGGTGAGGGCCAGGCGAGTGGTGAGAGTCAGGCGAGTGGTGAGGGCCAGGCGAGTGGTGAGAGTCAGGCGAGTGGTGAGGGTCAGGCGAGTGGTGAGGGTCACGTGAGTGGTGAGGGTCACGTGAGTGGTGAGGGTCAGGCGAGTGGTGAGGGTCAGGTGAGTGGATGCTTGGTTCGGGTCATCGGTAACAGCACTTGTCCCAACAGTCCGTGAAGGCTCCACGGGTGGTCTTTGTCTTTGGGGGCGGGGTGTGAAGAGAAGAGGGGGGGGGTGATGAGAGGGGGGTGCGGGGGGAGGAGGGGTGGGGGGGTGATGACGTCACGCTATGACGCGCCACACGCCGAAGCAATTTCCTGCCAGTTTTTTTTTAGCTTTGTTAAGGTGACACAATCTTCTTTCTCTAAAGCGCAAAAGAACCGAACTAAGTGGCCCACCCATCGGAGTGCGCGAGTGAGTGAGTGGGACACGATACGAGCCGCTAAAGTTAACCACCCTCCCTCCTTCCTTCCCCGGGGAGTCTCAACAGCCACGTTGTTGTTGTTGTGGTGGTGGTTGTTGTGGTGTTAGTGTTGGTGGTGGTTGTTGTGGTGTTAGTGGTGTTAGTGTTAGTGGTTGTTGTGGTGTTAGTGGTGTTAGTGGTGGTGGCTATGCGGGGCCCCTGTAGGGAGGGCAGCCGAAGGCGCAGTGCGGGGAGCCGACTCTGAGTCTGTGAGCGTCGCGCTCCGCTGAGAACGACACTTTGTAAGAACTTTATACTATTTTATATCTATAATACAAACACCACCCCCGTAGTTCGTCGTGTGTGTCCAACCGCACGTTCGTACGAGTTTTAAACAGGGGGGGGGGGGTGGGGGTTTATTTTATAATTCGCTTTCTCGCCTTGCCGTACACAACAACTTGGACGAACAAGAACTCTGTAGCGGGGTTTGGTGGTGGTATCGGTGAAGAGAGAGAGAGGGCTACAGTAGTCAGGGCCTACCGTGGCAGACACACAGACGACTTTTAAAAATAAACAAGATATTATTTTAAAGAGAGATGTGGCCGAATCCCAACACGTCCCAGCCAGCAAGGCCCTCGGTCGTGTTTAAGAGAAATGCCATCACGGACGACTACAAAGTGTCGGCCCAAGTCCTCGGGCTCGGAATCAACGGCAAGGTGCTCATGGTGAATAACAAGAAGAGCGGGGACAAGTATGCACTCAAGGTACAGCTGCCTTTACAGATAACCCACACACCTATACACCTACCCACACACCTAGACACCTATACACCTACCTACACACCTACCCACACACCTATACACCTACCTACACACCTACCCACACACCTATACACCTACCTACCCACACACCTATACACCTACCCACACGCCTTTACAGATAACCCACACACCTATACACCTACCTATACACCTACCCACACGCCTATACAACTACCTACACACCTACCCACACACCTATACACCTACCTATCCATACACCTATACAACTACCTACACGCCTTTACAGATAACCCACACACCTATACACCTACCTACACACCTACCCACACACCTATACACATACCTACACACCTACCCACACACCTATTCACCTACCTACCCATACACCTATACACCTACCCACACGCCTATACAACTACCTACTCACACGCCTATACAACTACCTACCCACACACCTATACAACTACCTACCCACATGCCTATACAACTAGTGGACTTACCCACCTACCTACACATCTAACTACTTAGTCACAAACATAACCATGCACCTACCTACAAAAAAACAAATATTCCCCGTGTAGCCTTACCAGACTGATGGGGCAAGTGCTGTTAGCGAGCACCTATAAAGGCCGGCACGGCACACGAGGGGGTGGGTGGCCAGCACCACGCCCGGCCGCCTTTGTCTCCCCAGTCACAATGTTTACACATCGCACCAGGTACTCATTTGAGGGCTACCTACACACACATATCCACATACCTCCCTACTTATGTACACACGAACCCACTAACCTCTATAACTACCGTACACATCTAACTACCTATCCACACACTTACCAACACACCTATCTGTACACCTAACCAACTACGTACGCACCTATTTGTACCCACATCCATCTCCATACCCACACACAACAAGCTACGCAAAACCAATTCAAATACCAACTACTTACTCAATTACACACCAACACAGCCACATCCACACCTTGTCTCTCTCTACGTGACTGTCTTTCGCAAGTACGCGTGGGGTGATGTGTTTTGATGAATACCTGTACGGGTAGGGATGCTTTGTCTTTGCGAATTCCTATACTGTACGTGTGGGGCAGTGTGTTTGTCTCACGGGTACACATGGGACAGTGTGTCTGTCTCACGGGTACACGTGGGACAGTGTTTGTCTGTCTCACGGGTACACGTGGGGACAGTATGTTTGTCTCACGGGTACACGTGGGGACAGTGTGTCTATCTCACGGGTACACGTGGGACAGTGTGTTTGTCTCACGGGTACACGTGGGGACAGTGTGTCTATCTCACGGGCACACGAGGGGACAGTGTGTCTGTCTCACGGGTACACGTGGGACAGTGTGTGTCTCTCACGGGTACACGTGGGGACAGTGTGTCTGTCTCGGGTACACGTGGGGACTGTGTGTGTCTGTCTCACGGGTACACGTGGGGCAGTGTGTCTGTCTCGGGTACACGTGGGGACAGTGTGTCTGTCTCACGGGTACACGTGGGACAGTGTGTTTGTCTCACGGGTACACGTGGGGACAGTGTGTCTGTCTCACTGGTACACGTGGGACAGTGTGTGTCTCTCACGGGTACACGTGGGGACAGTGTGTCTGTCTCACGGGTACACGTGGGGACAGTGTGTCTGTCTCACGGGTACACGTGGGACAGTGTGTGTCTGTCTCGGTGACACGTGGGGACAGTGTGTCTGTCTCGGCTCCACGTGGGGACAGTGTGTCTGTCTCGGCTCCACGTGGGGACAGTGTGTCTGTCTCACGGGTACACGTGGGACAGTGTGTGTCTGTCTCACGGGTAGACGTGGGGCAGTGTGTCTGTCTTGGGTACACGTGGGGACAGTGTGTCTGTCTCACGGGTACACGTGGGACAGTGTGTCTGTCTCACGGGTACACGTGGGACAGTGTGTCTGTCTCACGGGTACACGTGGGACAGTGTGTCTGTCTCACGGGTACACGTGGGACAGTGTGTCTGTCTCACGGGTACACGTGGGACAGTGTGTCTGTCTCACGGGTACACGTGGGACAGTGTGTCTGTCTCACGGGTACATGTGGGACAGTGTGTCTGTCTCGGTGACACGAGGGGACAGTGTGTCTGTCTCACGGGTACACGTGGGACAGTGTGTCTGTCTCACGGGTACATGTGGGACAGTGTGTCTGTCTCGGTGACACGAGGGGACAGTGTGTCTGTCTCACGGGTACACGTGGGACAGTGTGTGTCTCTCACGGGTACACGTGGGGACAGTGTGTCTGTCTCGGGTACACGTGGGGACAGTGTGTCTGTCTCACGGGTACACGTGGGGCAGTGTGTCTGTCTCGGGTACACCTGGGGACAGTGTGTCTGTCACACGGGTACACGTGGGACAGTATGTCTGTCTCACGGGTACACGTGGGACAGTGTGTCTGTCTCACGGGTACATGTGGGACAGTGTGTCTGTCTCACGGGTACACGTGGGACAGTGTGTGTCTCTCACGGGTACACGTGGGGACAGTGTGTCTGTCTCACGTGTACACGTGGGGCAGTGTGTCTGTCTCACGGGTACACGTGGGACAGTGTGTGTCTCTCACGGGTACACGTGGGACAGTGTGTCTGTCTCACGGGTACACGTGGGACAGTGTGTCTATCTCACGGGTACATGTGGGACAGTGTGTCTGTCTCGGTGACACGTGGGACAGTGTGTCTGTCTCACGGGTAGACGAGGGGACAGTGTGTCTCACGGCTACACGTGGGACAGTGTGTCTGTCTCACGGGTACACGTGGGACAGTGTGTGTCTCTCACGGGTACACGTGGGGACAGTGTGTCTGTCTCACGGGTACACGTGGGGCAGTGTGTCTGTCTCACGGGTACACGTGGGACAGTGTGTGTCTCTCACGGGTACACGTGGGACAGTGTGTCTGTCTCACGGGTACACGTGGGACAGTGTGTCTGTCTCACGGGTACACGTGGGACAGTGTGTGTCTCTCACGGGTACACGTGGGGACAGTGTGTCTGTCTCACGGGTACACGTGGGGCAGTGTGTCTGTCTCACGGGTACACGTGGGACAGTGTGTGTCTCTCACGGGTACACGTGGGACAGTGTGTCTGTCTCACGGGTACACGTGGGACAGTGTGTCTATCTCACGGGTACATGTGGGACAGTGTGTCTGTCTCGGTGACACGTGGGACAGTGTGTCTGTCTCACGGGTAGACGAGGGGACAGTGTGTCTCACGGCTACACGTGGGACAGTGTGTCTGTCTCACGGGTACACGTGGGACAGTGTGTGTCTCTCACGGGTACACGTGGGGACAGTGTGTCTGTCTCACGGGTACACGTGGGGCAGTGTGTCTGTCTCACGGGTACACGTGGGACAGTGTGTGTCTCTCACGGGTACACGTGGGACAGTGTGTCTGTCTCACGGGTACACGTGGGACAGTGTGTCTATCTCACGGGTACATGTGGGACAGTGTGTCTGTCTCGGTGACACGTGGGACAGTGTGTCTGTCTCACGGGTAGACGAGGGGACAGTGTGTCTCACGGCTACACGTGGGACAGTGTGTCTGTCTCACGGGTACACGTGGGACAGTGTTTGTCTCACGGGTACACGTGGGACAGTGTGTTTGTCTCACGGCTACACGTGGGACAGTGTGTCTGTCTCGGTAACACGTGGGACAGTGTGTCTGTCTCACGGGTACACGTGGGACAGTGTTTATCTCACGGCTACACGTGGGACAGTGTGTCTCACGGGTACACGTGGGGACAGTGTGTCTGTCTCACGGGTACACGTGGGACAGTCTGTTTGTCTCACGGGTACACGTGGGGCAGTGTCTCTGTCTCAGTTGCACGTGGGTCAACGTATCTGTCTCACGGGGAACCCGTGGAACCCGATGGTTTCCAGGGAAATGTGTTAATCGCAGATACACGTAGGACACATTTTCACTTGTACACCTGGGACACAGTCACGGAGACACATGGGTCACTCAATGTTTGTTTCTCACGGGTTACGTGTGACACACCGACACTTTCAGTGTCCTTAGCGAGTACACGTGGCAGGACACCGTTAGTTAAAGGTACACGTTGGGCAATGTCTCACGGATACGTTGAGTATACGTAAGTAAGAGTCTCGTCTGTGTCAGGCCTACAGATATGTACGTGGAACACGCAGTGTTTCACAGATACATGTGGGTCAGTCTTTCTCAGGAACACGTGGGACACTGACATTGTCTCTGTTTCACAAGCGTGATGAACTTTTATGGGTACACACTACACATTAACCTTAAATACACCGTACATAAGGGGATGTCTTTAAAAATATACACAAGGTAGTCGTGTATATATATCACAGATTGACCAATCCATCCGAAATACGATTACATACCTTGTGATTCGCTCTAAATAACAAGATGGCCATACATTAAGTTATTTTGAGCTGGTGGTCCGAAATAAGGCCGAGGGCTTTTGTGCATGCCTAGTGCACACCTGTGCGTGTGTTGTTACATTGCAATTGCACATCGCAGTTAGAGGTGTGCTACTCGCTCTCAGTATCGCAGAAATAGGTCTAGGTTAGAGATCTACTGTCCACATTGTACTTTACAGCACAACTTTATCATTGGGATGAAGGGTTTTATAAGAGGCTTCTTACCTGGTTTAAGCGAGCCTGGAGTTCGTTTATTGCCGGACATTCACAGATTACGGAGCACTGATCCACATTGTTTGGGGCAACACACCTCGCCATCAAAATCTCACGTTCCCACAGAGGCCACTTCTTGTTGGATCTGATACACAGTACTGTACCTATTTTTCCACTGCACAACTGAGCCGTGCTGATGCCGATCCAAGCCCGGTTGCGACTAAGCAGGGTTTTTTTTTTAAATTCCCACTTCAGAAGCCAAGCCGTTGCAGCTTAAACATCGTTCGCATTCATTGAGTTCAGACGCAAGGGCCTTAGAAGATGCGGTGATGCCTCCCTCGCAGTGTGCTTACACCGAC